GTGGGTGTTGTGTCGTCGGCAAGGGTGAACGTCCACTGCGGAAGGAGCGCAGAGGTGTTGGATACGGGGCGGCTGCCCACTCAGTCAGTGGCGAACGCAGCAATTTTTTGGGGGGACTTACAACCCGGAGGTGGTACCGCCGACGGCGGAGACACAGGGCGCGTCGAAGCTCGACTGGGTGACCGTGTGGTTCTTGGGGTTGCTGTGGCGAACATTATCAGGGCAGGGCCAAAAAAACGAGAGCAGACCCACAAGACGAAGGTGATGTCGTCGCCCTTGGCGGCAGTGATGGACTGGGGGTCATACGCGAAGGTGCCGTTCGGTCCCACTTGGACCGTGAACGAGGCGGCGAGCGCCGCTGGGAGCAGGCCAAACACAACAGCAAGCTTCGTTGAAATCGTCATCGTAAAAAAAAGGTAGAAAAAGTGCGGGAGGGGTGGGTGGGAGGAGGAAGAAAAGATGTGAAGGTACCGAACAGCGGCGCTTGCCCCGCTTTTATACCAACAATTACAGGCTGATTACAGGTGGCGTATATGCGTTCGGTGATGTCGGATTGGATGCGGCACCCCTGCCTTGTCTGTCCGGCTATGAAACGGGGACCGCCCACAGCCATCAAAGACGCCGGGGTGTGTCGACCAGAATGGACAGCGAGAGCAGCATAATAGCCTCACAATAGATCGGCGCTTTGGCTGTGCACGAGAGACTTCGGACTCAGCCGCATATAGCACTCGCCATTTTTCGCGTTTTGCACCGCCCGCGAGGCCCAAGCGTCCGGTTTTTGTCCTCGGTTTGTCATCCGACAACGCCGAAGTCGCCAGCCAAGTCCGGAGGGGGTCTGAGACACTGCCGAGAGGTTTCAGAGGCTCGCTTGTGTCCTTGTCTTCATTTCAGATCGGCAATTTGCCAGCAAACTTGAAAGCCTGAGTGCAAGATTTAGAGTCTGTAGATCCGACGGACGCGAATCTTCCTCGAATCCATCCCGTCGTCAAGGAGTCCACAGAAATCGTCAAGGAGTTGACGCAGATCCTCCAGTGCCCCAGGTAGTTCGTCTGATTCCAGGTACAAGTGTTGCGGAAAGACGAAAATAAACCCGCACAGCCACGCGCCCATATATATCAAATACTATCTCCATCAGCCAATCCCCGCCGAGGAAAAAAATAAATCACGTCCAGTCGCGCTTGAGCTGCGTCCAACCTTAGTACAGCCTCTACACAATTGCGCCTATAATTACATGTACACTTTACAATTACCCGACACCTAAACCTAAACCTACACGCTACACTCATCTATCCACGATTATCAATGGCAATTGTACCGATGCAAAGAAGAAAGAAGAAAAGAGAGGAAGAAGAAAAAATCGGAGAGACTAGACTATGTAGACTATGAAGCTAATTTGTGACTAACGAACTATGTAACTAGAGAGAAAACTGCAACAGAACAACAGCGAGCAATCAGTATATGTACGAGCGTATGTAGCACCAAGAAACGCCTCCCCTCCCCACCCCACTCCTCCCCACCACACAAACCACAACGACTCACGACTCACCCTCAACGCGCGGACGACGCCCCCTCAGCGCGGGTTACCGCTCCACCCCCGCCGCCGCCGCCGCCATCGCCCGCGCATTCACATGCACATGGTGCGCCCTTTCCCCGACCTCCCAGCACACCTCCACGCCCCGTACCCACGCACACCCCAGCACCTCCTCGATGCTCGCTCTTGCGCGCGGGTCCGGCTCGAGCATCTTGCGGATGAGCGGCCGGCACGCGCGCGGGGAGAGGTTGCTGATCGTCGGCGGGAACGTCAACGCCGGCGCGTTGCGCTCCGCCCTGTCCGCCCTCTCCGTCGTCGGATGTGAATTTGAGTTTGCAGTTAAGGTGGAGGTGGAGGACGCGGTGGAGGAGGCGCCGTTGAGGGTCGCGGGGGAGGAGGCGGTGGAGGGAGGTGGGGGCGCCGGGGCGGCGGCGAGGGGCGGGGGCGGCGTGGCGGCGGCGGCGGAGGCGTACGCGGCGTACAGCTGGTCGGACGGCTGCGCCGCGCGCCAGGGCAGCTCCTGGAAGTGCAGGCAGTAGTACACGATCCCGCACGCCCAGATGTCCACGAGCCGTGCGTCGTAGGCTGCCGACGAGTCGTGTCGGCAAGTGACAAAAAACAAAGACGAGGAGGGGACTCACGTTTCCCCAAAAACTGCTCCGGCGCGATGTACGGCTCGCTCCCGCACAGGCCCGTCGACATGTGGATCGTCGCTTCCCATGGGAGGCGGTACACCGTCGAGGCGCCGTAGTCGCCGATCTAAAGTGGAGAAGGAAGAGGGGCTGAGCGGGCGTTGGAGGGAGGAAGGAGGAAGAAGGAAAGAAGGAAGGAGGGAGGGGGACGAATAGGACGAAAGAGCAGAAGGAGCGAAGGGGGTGAAGAGGACGAAGGAGCGGAGGGGGAGATGGGCGGGCGGCATGCCAAAGGGAATCAAATCGACTCCGCCGCCAGAGGGGCGCCACGCACGGCCACCTCATCCTAGCCCCAGCCTCGGCACCGGCGGGCGTGGGAGGGCGCGCGGGCACCAGCACGCAAGACGCGTTCGTCCGCGCCACAAGCGGGGCTCCACCACCTCGCATAGGGCTCTCCTCCACGCGGGACTGTCCCACTGTCCCATCCCCACAGGGCGCCCGCCCCTCCGCTTCAGGTGTCTCCGCCTCAATGTGGCGGATCACCCTCCGCTCCACCTCGCGAACAACACAAAGCGCTCCCTCTCTCCACAAAAAAAAGAAACCCCATCCAGAAAAAAGCACACACCTTCAAATGCCCCCCGGTATCGAAGAACAGGTTCTCCGGCTTGATGTCGCGGTGCGCGACGCCCTGCGAGTGCAGGTAGCCCACGCCGCTCAGGATCTGCTTGAAGCAGCACTCGACCTAGGTGAGGGCGAGTGAGCCGTTGGAAAAGAAGAGTAGGGAGAAGGAGGGTGGGGAAGGGGGAGAGGGATGGGGGAGGGAAGAGGGAGGGAAGGGTGGGCGGGGGAAGGAGCGGGCGGGGTGGCAGTGGGAGGCGCAGGGCGGGGAACGGAAAGCTACGCCAGCAGGCTGGCACACCGCCATACTGGGGGCGCGTGTACCAACGCTTCACCCCGCCCATCGCGTTGGAGGACGGAACGCGCAGCGTCGGCCTCAGGCTCGGCCTCGGGCTCGGGCCCGGCTCCAAAAGAAAATCCAAAAAAAAAGAAGCGGAAGCAAGACCCACCTCGCTCGGCGACATCCCGCCCTTCTTGATCGCGGCGTACAGGTCCCCGCCGGGGCAGAACTGTGTTGGTATCAGTCGTGGTTCTTTTTTTTTTTGAAAAAAAGGAAAGAAGGGAGAAGGAAAAAAGAGGAGGGGGCGATGACGTAGTCGGACTGGGATGCTGTATCGTCGGGCGTCGGGCATCGGGCATTGGATGGCTGGGCAGACACCGACCCGCCCGTGCAGGGAACCGATGAAGGGGCTCGCATAGCGTCCCGACGCTCGATGGCACGGCACGGTATGCGCGTACAGTCTGCGGGAGCGGCATATCGGTCCCACGGCGTGCGGGAGCGGATGACGACGCAGCGGTCGGTCCCACGGGGCGCGGGGCGGGAGCGGATGACGCGGGAAGGCGAGGCTTCACCCCTTGCGGGCGCAGCAATGGAGGGCGCAGCGAGCGATGGCGCCCCATCGCCACCCTCGTCGACGCAGATCCCGCTGGGGAGTGACGAGGCTGCATCGACGCAGATCTGGCCGATGGCTCCGCGGTGGGCGGGGGGTTTACATCCATGCCAGGGACGACAAGCCTTTTCATCCCAAAACCGCGAGCGCCAAGCGCCTCGGCGTCCGCGCAATCCCCACCCACCCCTCAAAAAAAAAAACGGCAACACCAAGAAAAAAAGACACACACCTCCATAACCTCACACCACCTGCCCGCCTCGTCCTGCACGAGGTCGACCGTCTCGACGATATTGACGTGGTGCAGCGTCGAGCTGATGCAGAACTCGGCCGTGAGCTTCTTGACGTACTCCTTCTCCGTCTCCGTGCGCCGGCGCTTGCGGAACTCCTTCACCGCATACAGCTTCTCGCCGTCGGAGCGGTCCCACTTGTGCGCGAGGCGCACGACGGACGTGGCGCCCTTGCCGATCGCGACCTTCTGGCACACGCCGTACTTCTTGGTCAGCGAGGCGGCGGAGTCGCCGCCCGTCGAGCGCGCGGATTTGGGGGGCTTGGAGTACGAGGAGGGGTGCGAGTGGGACTGGTGCGAGGCCTCGGAGCCCGAGTCGCGGGAGGAGGCGGAGCGCGCGGAGGAGCGGCGCGAGAGCTTGGGCCCGCTCGCGAGGAGGTCTTTGAGGGTGAACTTGTGGGAGGTGTGCGAGGACTCGGAGGCGACGGAGGCGGCGCGGGAGGGCGCGCGGGCGGGGATGGCGGGGGTGGTGGGCGCGGAGGCGGAGGCGGCGCGCTTGACGGCCGCAGGGGTCGGGGTCGAGGAGGAGGCGGCGAGGAGGTCGCTGCGGGTGGCGCCGGGCTGCTTGTCGTAGGCGGCGGCCTCGGGGGGCGGGAGCGGGACGCTGGGCGCGCGGGGCATGCTGGGTGTTGACTCGGGGGTGCTGCTCGTCGTCGTGGACGTCGTCGAGAGGCTGCTCGTCGTCGTGGTGGTCGGTGGCAAAGAGGGCTGTTAGAGCAGGGCCATCGCTGGCGCGGAAGGCAAGGACTGCACACTGCTCGCACCAGCACAAAATAAACAGCAAGTCAAAACACCGCCCGCGACTGGCTGGCGATATTCACTCAGCCAACACCCGGCTCCGGCCCGCGCCGCCGTATTGCTAACACGCAACATCCATCCCCTTCCAGGGCGTTCCACTGGTCTCCTCGGCCATCGTGGAGCTGCCGGCAGCACAAATGGGCACACAAGTGGCGTCGGCGTGGTTCGAACGTGCGACGTGGCTTGCCAGCATGCATGCCAGAAACTGCCAACTTGCAATAAAAAAGATCACCCAGCAATGTGCAAGGCCTGGCCCTGATTTGAACAGGGGACTTCCTCGTAAATATGCTTTCTTTTTATGCTCAACATTTCCAGACGATATGTAACCACTACACCACCAGGCCATGATGGATCTGTCCATCATGGGCTATTATAAGTAAACATATTTTCAGTTTTCGTGAGAAAGAACAAGAAAAAGGTGATGGCCTGACCCTGAGTCGAATAGGGGACTTCCTCGTAAACCATTGTGTTACCGACAAATATATAAAAGATGTGTTACCACTACACCACCAAGCCTCCTTTGCGCATCCACTATTCCCTCTCATCTCAAAATAAATTGCAGTTTCTCCTGGAAAGGAAAAAGTGCAGAAGCTGAACACAACGGCCTGGCCCTGGTTCGAACAGGGAACTTCCTCAGAAGCCTTCATATGGCTATTTTAGACAGTGGGGATGTGTAACCACTACACCACCAGGCCGTGATGGATCTGTCTATCGTGGGGCTAAGAAGCGGCTGTTTATTGCAGTTTCGTTTTCGTGGGAAAGAAAAAGGAAAAAGAAAAACATGATGGACTGACCCCGAGTTGAACAGGGACTTCCTCAGAAATATGCCATCCTGCTACATATAAAGAGGAGATGTTACCACTACACCACCAGGCCCTTCTACTGCTTACTTCATTCACTTCATTCCAGTCCCTCCTGGGCTCAGAATGCTTAGGATTGAAAAAAAAAAAAAAAAGGTAATGGATTTAATGCAGGATGGCCTGACCCTGATTCGAACAGGGGACTTCTCCAGAAAGGATACCAACAACTGCTAATTCAGAGAGGATGTGTTACCATTACACCACCAGGCCATGATGGATCTGTCGATCGTGGGGTTAAGTGTTATTTTCAGTTTTTTCGTGAGAAAGAACAAAGAAAAAAGAAAAGATATGGCCTGACCCTGAGTTGAACAGGGAACTTCCTCAGAAATAAACTATTTTTCGCACTACTTATATATACAAGAGATGTGTTACTACTACACCACCAGGCCTTTAAGTGTCTTTCCTTTTCTCGCTATTCTCCTCTCATTCTCATTCCAAATCCAAAATAAAAGGCAGAAAGAAAGGAGAAAAATACAGAAGCTGAACACAATGGCCTGGCCCTGATTCGAACAGGGAACTTCCTCAGAAGCCTTCATATGGATATTAATATTATAGACAGTAGGGATATGTAACCACTACCACCAGGCCATGATGGATCTGTCTATTGTGGGGGTAAGAAGTGTCTATTTTCAGTTTTTTGTGAGAAAGAACAAGAAAAAGAAAAAGGTGACAGCCTGACCCCGAGTCAATCAGGGAACTTCCTCAGAAGTGTGTCATCCTCTACTTAGAGAGGAGATGTTACCACTACACCACCAGGCCATGATGATCTGTCTATTGTGGGGTAATAAGTGACTGTTCATTTTCAGTTTTCGTGAGAAAGAAAGAAAAAAAGACAATGGCCTGACCCTGAATTGAACAGGGGACTTCCTCAAAACCCTTTCCCATGTGTTAATTTGAGAGGACATGTTACCATTACACCATCAAGCCACTTTTTCTGTAAACTAAACAACTTTATCTGTCTTATACTATCATGGGACCTATATTCAGTTCCCTTGTGAAAAAGAAAAATGGACACACAAGTGGTGTCAGCCTGGTTCGAACTTGGGGACTTTGTGTTGATCAAGTGTACTGAATTCTGACTTCGACATCCTGAGCAAAAACAAAAACAAAAAGACCATCCGGCCATGTGTAAGGCCTGGCCCTGATTCGAACAGGGGACTTCCTCACAAGCTTTCAAAGGTAATGGTATAAAATGTGAGGAGGTGTAACCACTACACCACCAGGCCATGATGGATCTGTCTATCGTGGGGGTAGGAAGCAACTATTTTCAGTTTTCATGAGAAAGAACAAGAAAAAGACAAAAGATATGGCCTGACCCCGAGTTGAATAGGGGACTTCCTCAGAAGTACGTTACATACCTTCTTCTTATATAGAGAGGAGATGTTACCACTACACCACCAGGCCCTTCTACTGCTTACTTCATTCCAATCCCTCTCGGGCTCAAATGCTTAAGATTGAATAATAATAATAATGAATTCAATGCAGGATGCATATGGCCTGGCCCTGGCTCCAACAGGGAACTTCCTCACAAGCTATTGTTGACTGACACTCACACCGGGGTTACAGAAATTTCGGGACAGCCGATGTTAGTTTTGATACGGCACGTGGCCATTTCGGGCGCACCGAAATGCATCGGCCTTCCCATATATAGCAAGCCCGAAGCATTTCGGGGCACCCGGAACAAGCACGTGCCATATCGAAACTAACTTCGGGTGCCCCGAAATTCCTGTAATCCCGGTGTGACTGACTTAAAGCTTGAGGATGTGTAACCACTACACCACCAGGCCCTGATGGATGTGTCCATCATGGGCTATTATAAGTAACATATTTTCAGTTTTCGTGGGAAAGAACAAGATAAAAAAAGATGATGGCCTGACCCTGAGTTGAACAGGGGACTTCCTCAAAACCCTTTCCCATGTGTTAATTTGAGAGGATGTGTTACCATTACACCATCAAGCCATTCTTCCTATAGACTAAACAACTTTATCTGTCTTAGACTATCATGGGACCTATATTCAGTTCCCTTGTGAAAAAGAAAAATGGGCACACAAGTGGTGTCAGCCTGGTTCGAACTTGGGGACTTTGTGTTGATCAAGTGTACTGAATTCTGACTTTGACATCCTGAGCAAAACAAAAACAAAAAGACCATCCAGCAATGTGTAAGGCCTGGCCTTCCCATTCTCTTGAGAATGTTATAATGATTGTCAACTACAGAATTCAACCTGAAAAAGCTATCAAGATGACCAGCCTGACCCTGAGTCGAACAGGGGACTTCCTCACAAACCTCCTCTTACACCTCAAAACTTGAGGATGTGTAACCACTACACCATCAGGCTGCTCCTTCCTACTGTTTTATGTGTTCAAAGAAATATGATGTTGAAAAGATAGTCAAAAAAGCAAACATTTCAAAATGGATAAGACCTAACCCTGAATTGAACAGGGGATTTCCTCATAAACATTGTTCAAGTACTGGCAGAATCCAAGAGGATATGTTACCACTACACCATCAGGCCTTTCCTGTGTGACTCACAGCATAAGTCAACTGCATCAAATGAGAATTAGTGCAAAGTGAAATTAGTGGGCAATTTGAACAGCTCACTCTCTGCCCAAAATTAAAGATTTGACACGGACAGGATCCGAGGAGTCCTCAATCCAGATCCAGTGCACACACAAGAAGACGGAATCACACTCAAACCGAGGAATAAGCTACATCCAAACGCGAGGAATTATTTGAGAAATGTTCGGAAAACGCGAAAATCGATGAGAAGGCTCACTCACGTTGTCGAAGTTGGTCCGTTTTAAGTCCTAGAATCTCGCTCAGGAGACCTCAAGGCTACATAATTGAATCAACTAATGTGGAAATCTCGATTTCTGCTTGTAATAGACAATCCTCTCAAATTCTGCAACAATCGTCAATCCTCTCAAATTCTGCAACAATCGTCAACTTGCCTCTCTACACAAAAGATTCACCGAGTACCGAGGTGAGTACCTTACCCACCACCTAAACACCCTGCTCTTCGTTGAGAGTACCCCGCACAAGATCCGCGGCGTGATGTCACACATTAAAAATGGTGACTATAAATCTTAGAGGTAGGACTTCTAGGAGCCTGGGAAGAATACAGGAACGATAGGAGTCATATTGAGGATAGCGGTGAGTCAATGTGATGGAGTAGGATTAGTAATGCTCATTAAGCGTTGGAGTCATAAAATGTCACTCGGACTTGCAGATTGTAGATATGACAAGGCACAGTGAGTCACAAAGAAATGACTCGGGCATCAGGAAACATATAAATTACCAGCAAAGCTAGTAGCAAAGTAGTCCCCTCTTGTACTCAACTACGTATATTAATATACGCAGACTTATTATTAGACTCTTGCAGCTGTTAAGCCTTTGGCGGGAATTGATTCCCACGGCGTGGCTTGAATCTAATCAAGAAAGATTAATCAGAACCGAATTGCCCGGCCCGTCCGCTACTAAATTTCTCGGGAATTAATTTAGTGTGAGTTTAACATTGCAAGAAAATCTGAATTGCGCCAACCGTAAGCAAGTAACAGCAAGTCCAAGCAAGTACACGTACCGAGAGACAAGATTAGAGGAGCCGTAAATTGAGCACATCAAATCGCTCGTGCTAATTTAGAGCTTCTCACGCGTCTAAGAAAAGATACCAGAGCCACCGATCCGATCCGTACTTTTCAAGCCAAGTAAGAACCCTTTTTGAGAAATCAGGGCATAGTCACCCCTCCGTAACTATCTAACAAATCCACCCTTCTTTCATCTAACTCCTAGGTATCACCAAATACCCTCGACAGCGCCCAGATCGCAGCTTGATCGCACACTTGAACGGGGCAGGGAAGCTGCCCCAAAAAAAAACCTCCATCAATATTCATTCGCCCATAAATTCAACAAGAGACGGCACATACCACACCATCCCCGGTACGATGTCGAAGGTGGGCTCGATCACCCGGCCATCATCATCCACAGCCTTGGTGATGTCGAATGCCGCGAGGATGGACGCAATGGTGATCCACAGGGAGTCCCTTGCGAGGTGTCAGCCCGGGCATATTCTGGGTCGAATTAAGTAAATTAAAATGAACCGTGAGCGGTAAAGCATTTGAACTGTTATGTAAATTGAGGATGTGAGCTCACCTTCGTCCGAAGCCGAATGCTGCGTCAGGGCTCTGCATAGCTGGATTGAGCTTGCCGTTCACACCAGGGGCAAAGAACAATGCATGCAGACTGCGGGTGCTTTAAATGCATGTGGTCCGCATGTGTGTGTGACATCCCACAAAGGTCTTTGTAACATTTATGTCTTTCATGTATTAAGTACTAGCTAAAATGTAATTAGTTACTACAAATATAAAAGATAGTTTGAGAACAGTTATCAATAAGTTTGTGAGTAATTCCTATGCTTCATGAAGGTCTTCTTTGCACAAGCCATGACTCGGCCGCAGATGCCGTCGGGGCTCCACGAATTGACGGCACAATGCGGTTACGGCTGAGGCCCACCATGTGCCCATCCCACGCACTTCATTGTGCGCACAAACCATCTTTGTCAACACCCAACAATACCCGCACACCACCTTTGTCGACGTGCAACAGTGCCCGCACGTTGTCTTTGTCAATGCACAACTATGCCCGCACGTTGCCTTTGTCGGGATAGGACCCATCCGCATGTCGCCTTCGTCAGCACACAACCATGTCTTTGTCTGAGGGGCGGCGCCCATGTCAAGTGATGCCAAAGGGCGGGTCTTTGTGAAGCCGCTTCGGTATTTCGGCAGTACTATATTTAGCTTTACAGTGCAAAATGACTTTGCTTCGACTCAATTACTGTCCAAACGCCTTCGGACGTGGCTCAAATTACACCGACAGTTCCTGTACCCAATAATCTCAAGAAACCTGGAAGGAAACGGATGAGTAATGACCGAGATCCTGCCCCGAGCCCGAAAAACCACTGATCCCACTGCAAAATTCGATGCACTATATTTCTTAATGAACAGATTTTCATTCGGGTAGTTTAAGGCTCATTGATTTCGCAACTCAGACTAGTTGAATAAGATTGAGATTCAGCTGGACTGAAATGAATTTGAAGCACTACTAGTCAGATTACAAAACAAACCAGCCGAAACTCGAACCTAAATTATTTGTATCATCATTCATTTCAGCCCAGTGGAAATGCCAAGGTTCGGCTTGAATTACAGCCCAAGCTGAAAAGTGGACCTAAAGAATTGATTTCAATTCGGCTGAAATTTGGATCACCTGCCAACATACAGATTTCAGGGACCCTGAAATCAATTCTTTCGGTTGGCATGTCAGTTGGACTGAAATTCAAGTCCAAGAAATCACATGTACCGGTCTGAATAGACTGCACACCTCTTTTCCAGGAGATCGTTCGCTACTGCGGCTGAGGACAGGACAATTATCGATGTTCCGGCGACGTCGAGGTGAATGATATCGGAATCTGCATGGCGTCAGCCATTGTAGCTGTGACAAAAAATGGATACAAGGGCATCAACCATATTTCTTGCTCCATTCCATGTAGGTTTCCCACTGAAATGTCGGTGGGATATTGAATAGGTTCCCCACAAGAGGCAGTTTTCTCAGTCCAGGGGGTAGTGGTAACCTTGAACGCGATTTGTTTCGATAGTACAGTGCTAAGCTCGCAAAGAGAGCGCATGCGGCTGTCTTGAGGATGAGCAGGGACATGAGGGTGAGGTGTGGGTTATTTTTCGGGGACGCGGCTGTCAGGCGAACATTCAAAAGCGGTATCAGGTAAATCAGGTGCCCCGTGCGGTGGATGCAGTGAGAAAAAGGCGACAGAAGTTGAGAAGGCCATGATGTGAGGCGAACCTAAATGGTTTGGGGCTTGGTTTAAATCATCAGTGGACCTGCTTTCCAAAGAGCTCTCCGCGCTTCCAATCGGAGTCCGTTGCAGGCCTCAGAAATAACCGCATTCAGCCTCTGAGGAAGTGTCTACCAAAGAGAAGCGGAGACCGGCCCAGGACGACTCAAACAGAAGAAACCTGAGGCCTCAAAAGTCTCTGATTTCAGAGGCCTCTCAATGAGCATGTTTTTTTTAAAAAAAAAGTGGGCAACGATCTCCGTATAGCTGATAGATGCGAGGAGGCGGGGGAGGTGGCATGGTAGTGGCTAGATGCTTGACTCGGACGTTAAGCGGCGGAGTTTCAAATTCCGGATCACTTCGGCTGACTGTACACCGCTTCGCACTCGTTCTGCTCGATCAACCTGTCTCTTCAACCTTTCAACCTCGATTCCGACAAAAGTTCAAGGAAAGTAACCTTGTTCGGCATCCAGACGACTGGGCCAACTCGTTACTCCATTCACTAGGGGCAGTCAGAGTAGCGGTTTTCGGGCGGTTCTGGGTCGGTTCTGACAGTCATTTCTG